CATTTTTCATATTCTAAATAAGCTGTATTCTATGCTCCCCCAGCTTTTGAAAAAAATTGTATATTTTAACATGTACCATAATTGAACTACATATGGTAATCTTCCAACCTCTGTCAATAGATTATGAGGTCTCTGGTGCAGGGAGAGGACATTAATCAGTTCTTTCCCATGCACATACTAGGTATTTAACAATCGAGTTCAATGAAATGAGAGATACAGCCACACCTAAAATACAAGTAAACTGCATTGTACTGGAATGTTAAAACTAATTTTCTAGAAAATTTAAGAATAAGTAATTTATACAGAAAGTATAATTTCATGAAACTTTTCACACATTAAATATTTACAAATCTAAATATTATAGGTATTAAAATTGGGACATTTTAAAGCGCCTTCCTATTTAGCAATTCTAAGCATCTTTAAATTTTTAAACATTCACTTGACAACACAGACTAGTAATGCTTTATAGTACATTGAGTGAGAATGGAGACATGAGCCTCCAACAGCCTTGCAGTAGGGGATAGTTCTGAAAAGGTTTTGGATCACTGAATCTAACAGCCTAGGAAATAGGTCTTAGAAACAAGAGCTTGGTGGCTAATTCGAGAATGGTGCTGTTTGAGCTGCAATGAGCAGCAGAATGGAGAAGAAAGTGTTGCCATAAAGCTATGAGAGCCAGGGCAGGACAGGTTAAGTTTTCTAGAGCCAGAAACTCCTGCTGATATTTCACTAAGACATCTATTGACCAAATTATGAATCAAGGCAGTGGGAATGGCAAAGAACTTCAACTGATACAGGAAGACAGCCAGTTCTTAAGAGTGCTAATTAAAATATGTGTTGTGTCACTAAAATTTGTTTGGCTTATTGCATGTACATACTGATCATGAAATGTCTCTTCAGAAATAAATCAATGATACCAAAGGGTTCCACTTTCCTTATATGTACTTAAATATTCAAAGTTAGCAAAGTAAGAGTAATGCCAGACAGAAATTTGAAGAAGTAAACTTGAGGGGAATGGAGAAGCAGCATTCTGAGCAGTGAGTACATGATTTGACTAATTTGGTTTGGATTCACTCTTGTTTGATTAGGTTTGGGCAAGAATATTAGGAATTCCCTTTTTGTAACTGATTAGATCTAGTGCGTACCACAAGGTAGAAAAAACCTCCTTATTCCAAACAAACAGGTAAAGTCATTGTCAGTAACTAAAACACAACACAAACATTCTCAAAACAAGAGAAGAAAAAGAGAAAAACAAATAACATTTATTTTATGTTAGATGAGCTAATTCAGTCAATGGAAATGGTATGCACTAGAATTGTTGAAAATAGATATATAACTGTTGCACTTTGTACTACCACTAATAACTCACTACTGTAATGGGTTCACATTGCAAAATTCATAGACACACACACATACACACGATATTTGTAAACATGTGTGTATGTTTGTGTGTGTGTGTGTATGTAAGGAGTATGTTTTTCCACTCACCACTGGTCTTGTCCCGCTGCTGAGCCAGCCCCAAATAATACACAGAGAGACACTGTATTTGATATAATGTTATTGGCCCGTTACATGTTTCTTATCGGCTAGCTCTGTATTAAGTATTAACCATTTATATAATTTAAGTATTTCCACGTGGTCTCATCTTACTGAAGAGTGAGGCAGGCATCTCGTCTCCCCTGTCTCTCCATGCTGACTCCTCCTTCCTACTATTCCTCTTTTCTCCTTGTCTCCTAGTCCCTCCTATCTTCCTTTCCTATTGGCCAACAGTGCTTTATTCATTAACCAGTATGAGAAGCATATTTACAGAATCTCAATCTCCTTTATGATTCATCCTTCTATCTCTATTCTTAGTTTCTTCATTTGCAAAATATGAAATCCAGGTTTATTTAATCTCATGTATGGACTAGGCTAACTGCAATTTTATAAAATCTGTTTGCTGTACAATTCAACACAAACATATCACCAAGAAAAATAGTAAATGTTCATCAGAGTGAGAAAAATCACAGAAGAGAGATAGTTAAAAATTGCCTGTCAACAGAAAAGAAATCTAGAGACAGCATTGTCCTTATTCCCTAACCTGCCACGCCCAACCCCCACCTTTTTAATAACAATAAGAGGTGGGAATGTTAGGAACTAGCAGCCAGCTGACCCCAGCCCCAAGGATGGGCAAGAAGCTCATGGCCATATCATCCCTATGTCAGCTTTACCTGGCTATACCTGGCGGCCATAGGACTCAGTTAAGCATGTCCAAGTCCCCTTAAAAAGCAAGTGCCCCACACACCCCCCTCTCTCTCTCTCTGCCTCTCTCTGCTTCTTTGCTCTCTCTTTGTTCTCTCTCTGTTCTCTCTCTCTCTCCTGCTTTTGGTTGGCCACCAGCTACCCCCTCTTTCTCTCCTCTCTCAATAAACTCCATGTGGGCGCTGAAAAAAAGAAAAGAAAAGAAAAGAAATCTATTCAACATCTTGTAAAACAGAAAAAAGAAACCAACTATGCATCTCATGCCTGAAATCCCAACATTCTGGAGGCTGAAAAAGGGCTGCCATGTTCTAACCACCTGAACAAAAGAATATATTATATTTCTAAACATTTAACATTTTCACCTACATTATGAGCAAAATTTATACAGAAAAATGACACAGATTGAGTATCCAATTATCCAAAGTACTTAATATCATAAGTGTTTCAGTTATGTTTTCAGATTGTAGAATATTTACATGGATGAAATAAGAAATCTTGAGGACAGAACACAAGTCTAAATAAGATATTTGCTTATGCTCCATATATACATAATCTGAAAATAGTACCATCAAGTACTTATTGCTATATCTCTGTTTGTTTTAATCAGGAAATATTTCTTGTGTATATTTCTGAATTTCACAAGACTATCTTTATACAATTATATAACACACATTGACCTCCCCATATCTGTCTTTTCCCCCTTTCTCTTTCTTCTACACATTTGGTAGTCTTCCTGTGTTTTCACAACAATCAATTTTATGGCATTAAATATAGGATTCTTACATGTTCACTATTGCATACCACTGGTGCTCAATGTTTCAGATTCTGTAACATTAAAGACTGAGATTAGGAATGCTCAACATGAATTCATATGCACTCCTGGAAACACATTAAACTGATAAAAATTTGAGGGCAGATTTGTGATATAATTCAAATTATTACATGCAGAATACATTTCTAGAATTTATACTTTCAGGCTATCCCACAAAAAAAATACATAAACATATTTACCAGTTCACTTTTTTAGGAGTAAAACAAAGTGTCTGATGCTAGGGAAATGGTTAAATGTACTAACACAGACACACAACACGTAATTATATACAATATATAAAAAGAACACAGTTGATAAATAAGAAATAATATCACTACTGAAGACAAGAATGAAAAACAATGGAAAAATGTTTTAAAATGGGAGGGAGGGAGGAAGGGAGAGGGAACTGGGATCGACATGTAAAATAATAAATAAAAAAAATGCCTTGACTCCAAAATTTAAGTTCAAGGACAAGTTACTGGGGAAAAGGATTTCTATATTTGTTTCCACAGAAAATGAAAAGATGTGGATTCCTTCCAGACTAATTTGGCTTGATCAAGCCAGACTCCTTGAAACAGTTTACCAGGTGATCCTACATTCAAAACAGCTGGACAAAGCAGCCTTACAGACTACAGCCAGGATTTGTGCATCTTCTTAGAATCCCCCATGACAGCACCCCTTACCAGCAGGAAGAAGTTCTGAAAGAACGATGCCCACGTTCCCAAATATTGTCTATAAATGTTTGTTTTCATTTAAATTGACTTGGTTATAGTAAATAAAAGATTGAGTAAATAAATAAATAAATAAAAACCACATAGATCGACTAGATAATATGTAAAAAAATCAATAATAATTGTTTCCTTTCCAGAAGGTCTAAGGATAGAATTGAAGAGTCATCTATATTTCTACTTCCTGTCATCATCTTTCTTGCTTTCTTAGAACAAACTACATGGATACTTTCTTACAACCATCAGTATTAACTACTATAATGTAATTATAATAAATGACAATACATCAAATAATTGGAAAAATTCTAAATGTGAAGACAACTATAAAAAATAAGAAAGACTACTAACACTTATTTCAATGATCTGCAAAACATTCTAATTACCACAGATCTTTCCCCCTCTTTCTGTCCCTCCTTCTCTCCCACTCTCTCCTCCATTCTCTTTCTCCAAATTAAAAAACATATCAAACATATGGCAAAAGCACTCATTTTTAAGAAAAGATAGCATGTTTCTACTTGTTAGTTGTAAAGAGTTATTTATATAATTTAATGCCTACATTTGACTGAACTACTAAAATTATGTTCAAATAAATTATGAAAGCTCCATTGCACACAATGACTAATTATGAGAGCTTCATATTATCTGAATGACATGTATGAAACCCTTAAAACGTTAAGGGTATAATCATAAAGAATATATGCTTGTTTTCAAATCCACAATAATATTTTGTAAGGATTAGGTTTAGATACAAATTCAGAACATATGCTCGTAACAAAAACTATGAGCTTTTCTGGAAATTAAGGTTGATAAATGATATATATTTAAGAAGCGAGAAAAGGTAAGCCCTGTGTAACCAGTCTTCCTTCAATATCAACCCTAAATTTCAAAGGCATTAGTAGTATTCCATGATGAAATTTTGGTGATGCATGATAAGGCAAATAATTAGTATCATATTACTCAGCAAAATATCAATTCTATGAGGAACAGCACACATATATTAAATAATAAAATCTATACTTTAAATAATATATATGGGTAACAAATTTCAAATGAGAATTTTTTCTTTTGGCTAAAGAATAAAACATAGCTAGTACATGAATTTATATGTGACCCTACTTACTGTGAAGAACAATACATTCACACATAATTAGAATATTTTAGCAGAAAAATGAATTCCAATACATGTGGCACAATAATTATTAATGTGTAAAAATAAAAGGTACCTTTCATCTGGGAAGCAAATGTCAAGGCCAATTTTGCAAAGAGATCTGGATTCTCAAACTTATCTTCTTTTACTTTCAGCCAGAAACAGTTTTCTGATAATTCTTTAGGTTCAATCTAAATCAAAATAACAATGATAAGCATTTATGTTGTTACTCCTTGTTTAATTTTTCAAAGATTGACTTTCCTTTGTTCATCTATCCACTAAATCTGTTTCAACTATATAATATTACACTCACAAATATTCAGAGGAACACTTAGCAATTCTGTCATTACACAGAAATGGTACATAAAGCAATGGGTCATACAATAAAATACATTTAAAAGCATCTACTGAAAAGACCCTCAAAATAGTACAGTATATTCCTATTCAACTTGCACACATTATACTTGCACCTAGATTTTTAAAAAATATTTGATATACCAAGTATACAATTTTACTGTGAAATGTTAGTATGTGTACAATATGTACATTATTTACCTTACCTTAAACCCTCCTGTCCTCCCATTTGTTTGGGCACTCCCTACATACAATTTAATTATAACTTTTAAACATTTAAAATGAAAATATTTATCATACTCTAAGGCCAAAAATACCAAAGACAATAGAATCTTAACAAGAAATGATATTGAGAATGTCACAATATTTAATATTTACAATTATGATAGTATTGCAATCATAAAGTTTGCATATTTTTCAATTGGATATTCCTTTGTCTTTACCATAATTTCAAAGTTTTGAGTAAGCTACCAGTCATCTAGGCCACACATTTAAAGATAAACATAGGGTCCTAAATGCAGAGAAGAAAGCAGTAAGGCCAGTATTTATAATCTCAAACTCACAGCAATGCATTTCACATACACTGTCCCTCGCAGAAAAAGCAAAAAGGCAGCTAGAGTTAAGAGTCTTACCTTGGACCAGTTAATTCTTTTCATGGATACTTCTGGCTTATATAATTTTTTCTGTTTCATTCCATATGGTAGCTCAATTGGTACTGGTAGGGGAGGAAGAAATCCTCCAGTGGGTGGTGGTGGAGGAGGGCTTCCAAACACAGGTAGTGGGGGCGGTGGATGAATACCAGGAATCCCAAGTAAGGGTGGTGGAGGAGGAGGAACTACTCCTGGAAGTGGAGGTGGTGGTGGTGGTGGTGGTGGGGGAGGTGGTGGGCATGGTCCAGCACTTGGCAGTGGAGGTGGTAGAGGTGGGCCCGGGATAGCAGATGAAGCTCCCTGAAACAGTAATTAGTTGAAATGTTTCTAAGAACATATAACACAAAGTATACACATTTGTTAGTAATTCAGGGTTTAAGACTATATATACCTTTCGAATCTTTCAAGATTAGACACTTTATCAATATCTATAAATAAAGACTTATGATATACACTATTATTCCTCTGGACAATGACTATTTCTGCAAAAAAAATATTAACAAAAGGAAAATTTGTGGTTTGTAAGATTTTTATGAAAAGCTCTAATATGATGAAACAATATATTTCACTATAAATATAGTCAAAGAAGTATGAAATAGGGCTTAGAACTGTTAGCCTAGCTAATTAAAATTTGATTAAAGTATGACAAGATCAAGGATTCAAATCCCATGGGTGTCAATTAGCCTTATATAGAGTATTTCACAGTACAGATAATTTAGCTGTCTTCACATATTAGTAACTAATACTAAGTAGAATCCATTTGCATAGCAATATAAGCATATCAATATGTTACATCTATTTCTTCTATTTGTGTTTATGATAACCTTGTAACAAAGATAGGACATTTAGTCATTACCTCAATGCTTACAGATGAGAAAACTAAATGTAAAAACATTAACTGAAAGCATAGTTTATAACCCATTTACTGGTATGCTTGCCTTACACACAGGAAAAACTAAGTTTGATCCTCAACCCTATAAAAAGAAGTTTGTAGCGACTAATCAATATGACACAGTGGAAAACATGAGGATCTACATTTGAAAGTGCCTCTTTTTCCACTCTGTTCTCTTCATGAAGGAGTTTTATTTGCCACATAGATTCATTCATACACAAGTACATGAGGGGAAAATAACTTCTTTCTAACATCAGAAAATAACATAATGTTCTCTACTGGTGGTTAATTACAGATGAGCAACACTTAATTCTGTATTGTTTTAAGGATTAAATAAACATTAAAACATTACTGATCACAATGATTCCAATTTCAAAATAAACATGAATATATTTCAAATAAAGTAGTACCACTTAACAGAATTACTATAATCAAAATATTATGTTTTATTATTTGAAATTTCATGGCATAGTGATTTTTTTAAGCAGTAGTGAGAATTCTATAGGGCATGTTTCTACAATCATGACAATTTGTAAAATATTCTTACAAATGTTATTTAAATTGTATATCCATTTTGTACATTTTTTTTTTTATTTTGGAAGATACTTCAAAGTTTAACTGGGACAATAAAGTATTCTAAGTTATGTTATGTTAACTTCCTGATTAAAATAAATTTTAACTTATACTTTGGAATAATTTAAATAAAATAACTAACTTTAATTATCAGGGACAGGGCAAGAAACAAATCAAACTTCAGCATTTAAAAAAGTGTCAAATTGACTTGGAGTTCCTGCGGGCAAGATCCTTGACCCCCAAATCCGGGCCCCTGCTGAAGAACAAGGTCTCAGCTGGAGAGCGACAGTTTCCAGTGAGATCCCACTACCCTGCAAAACCTTCTCAAGTTCCAGCCCAGCCCTCGTCCTCTTCTGCCAGCTATTGGCCAGAGGTAAGTCTGGGCCCAATTGGGGCTGCCTGTCCCCTTCAACCTCTTTTCCCCCCCTCCCCCGCCTGAACTCCCTGGATTGGCCCCTGATCCTGCTGCTCCTGTCTCCAGTCCCCATTGAGAGCACCCTTGGAGCTCTGATACACCCCCACCCATCCCATCCTCCAGCCAACCCCCCCCCCTACCCTGTGCCCTACCCCACCTAAGGTCCTGCCTCTCTGGTTGAGCACTGGGACAGAGGGTGGAGCCAACAGTCCACCCTACTTCGGAGACCTCTCTGAGCAACTCCGAACAAAGGAGACCTGACTATCCACGTGTGACCACCTGTAATTTCTACCAGCTTGGTCCCTGACCCCGCCTCCAGTCCTCTGCTGGAGTCCCAGGCCCCTCACAGAGATCCGCCTATCTCTGCTGGTCCACTCAGAGTTCCTGCCTGCAAGATCCTTGACCCCCAAATCCGGGCCCCTGCCAAAGAAAGAGGTCTCAGCTGGAGAGCGCCAGTTTTCAAGAAACCTCCTAGAGAGCTTGGACCACACAGAGCTACAGACATTGAATCTTTGATCCACATAAGCCCATCCGGGAAGGACCATAGAGAGAGGGAAGAGACACCACCAACACCTACTGGAAGAAACTATGGGAAGAAGGCAATACAAGAGAACACCTAACAACAGAAAGACAAACATGACACCACCAGAATCTAGGGAATCTACACCAACTAGAATGGAACACAACAACAAAGCAGAGGAAGCAGAAGGGTACGACTTAAAAATCACCATCATAAAAATGATAGAGGCCCTCAAAGAAGATATGAGAAAATCCCTTAAAGAAATGGAGGAAAAAACAAACAAAACAGTGGAAGAAATGAACAAATTCCTTAAGGAAAGTACAGAAAGCCAAGAAAAAACAATTAACCAGGTGAAGGAAACGGTTCAAGATTTGAAAACCGAAATTGAGAAAATAAAGGCAACACAAATGGAAGGAAAGCTGGAAATTGAAAAGCTGGGCAAAAAATCAGAAACCAGGGACACAAGCATAACCAATAGAATTCAAGAGATGGAAGAGAGAATCTCAGGTGCAGAAGATAAACTAGAAGAAATAGATTCATCGACCAAAGAAAACCATAAATCCAACAAATCCTTAACACACAACATCCAGGAAATGTGGGACACCATGAAAAGGCCAAACCTAAGAATAATAGGCATAGAGGAAGGGGAGGAAGCCCAGCTCAAAGGTGCTCAAAACATGTTCAACAAAATCATCGAGGAAAACTTTTCAAATCTGAAGAAGGACATGCCCATGAAAGTACAAGAAGCATACCGAACCCCAAATAGGCTGGACCAAAGAAAAAAGACCCCTCGACATATAATAATCAAAACACCTAGCATAAAGAATAAAGAAAGAATATTAAGAGCAGCGAAGGAAAACGGACAGGTAACATATAAAGGCAGACCTATCAAAATTACACCTGACTTCTCCATGGAAACTCTCAAGGCCAGAAGGTCCTGGATAGATGTTCTAAAAGTATTAAGAGAACACGGATGCCAGCCTAGGCTACTATATCCAGCAAAACTCTCAGTCAATATAGATGGAGAGAACAAGATATTCAATGACAAAACCAGATTTTCCCAATATGTATCTACAAATCAAGCCCTACAGAAAGTATTGGAAGGAAAACTCCAACCCAAGGAAGGTAACTACGCCCACAAAAATGTAGGCAACAGATAATCCAACTACACCAGAAACCTAGGGTGAAGCAGAACAAATATATTCACAATACCACTCCCAACAACAAACCTAAACCAAACAAGCATCAACAATCAATGGACCTTACTCACCCTCAACATTAATGGTCTTAACTCACCTATAAAAAGACACAGGCTAACAGAATGGATACGAAGACAGAATCCATCCTTCTGCTGCATACAAGAAACACATCTTAGCTCCAAAGATAGACATTACCTCAGGGTAAAGGGTTGGGAAAAGATTTTCCAATTAAATGGAAATAAGAAGCAAGCAGGCGTAGCTATCCTAATATCTAACAAGCTAGACTTCAAACCAAAACTAGTCAAAAGAGATGAAGACGGTCATTTCATATTCATCTCAGGAGAAATCCATCAACACAAAGTCTCAATTCTGAACATCTATGTCCCTAATACAAAGTCACACACATTCGTAAAAGAAACACTACTAAAATTCAAAGCTCATATAAAACCTCACACACTTATAGTGGGAGACTTCAATACACCACTCTCAACACTAGACAGGACCACAAATCAGAAACTCAACAAAGAAACAAAAGAATTAACAGAAGTTATGTCTCAACTGGGCCTAACAGACATCTATAGAACATTCCATCCAAAGACAAAAGAATATACCTTCTTCTCTGCTCCACATGGAACCTTCTCTAAAATCAACCACATACTAGGAGACATAACAAACCTCAACAGATACAAGAGAATAGGAATAGTCCCCTGTTTCTTATCAGACCACCATGCTTTAAAATTGGAATTCAACAACAACACAAATAGCAGAAAACCTGCAAACTCATGGAAACTTAACAATCTGAAATTGCACCACTCCTGGGTCAAAGAAGAAATAAAGAAAGAAATTAAAGACTTTCTAATATTCAACGAGAATGAGGATACAACATACCCGAACTTATGGGACACCTTGAAAGCAGTGCTAAGAGGGAAGTTCATTGCACTAAGTGCCCATATGAAGAAAACAGAGGATAGTCACATAAATGAATTAACAGCCCAACTGAAAACCTTAGAACAGAGAGAAGCGAATTCACCCTGCAGGAGCAGACGTCAGAAAATAATCAACTTGAGGGCTGAAGTCAACAAAATAGAAACCAGGAAAACAATACAAAAAATCAATGCAACAAAGAGTTGGTTTTTTGAGAAAATCAACAAGATAGATAAACCTTTATCCAAATTAACGAAAAAGCAGAGACAGAACATGCAAATTAACAAAATCAGAAACGAAATGGGGAACATAACAACAGACACAGAGGAAATCCAGTCAATTTTCAGGTCATACTTCGAAAATCTGTATTCCACAAAAATTGAAAATTCAAAGGAAATGGACAAGTTTCTGGATAACTATCACTTACCAAAATTAAATCAAGAACAGACAAACAACTTAAATAGACCTATAACACGAAATGAAATAGAAGCAGTCATCGAAAGCCTTCCAACGAAAAAAAGTCCAGGGCCAGATGGATTCAGTGCAGAATTCTACCAGACGTTCAAGGAAGAACTAATACCACTACTCCTCAAACTGTTCCACAAGATAGAAACAGAAGGTTTATTGCCAAACTCTTTTTATGAGGCCACAATAACTTTGGTACCCAAACCTCACAAAGACACAACTAAGAAAGGAAACTACAGACCAATATCCCTGATGAACATCGATGCAAAAATACTCAATAAAATAATGGCAAACCGAATTCAAGAATACATCAGAGAAATCATCCACCATGATCAAGTAGGCTTCATCCCTGGATTGCAGGGATGGTTTAACATACGAAAATCTATCAACTTGATCCACCATATAAACAAACTGAAAAAGAAAAACCATATGATTATCTCCGTAGATGCAGAAAAAGCCTTCGATAAAATTCAGCACCCTTTCATGATAAAGGTATTAGAGAGGTCAGGGATAACAGGAACATACCTAAACATAATAAGAGCAATATACAGCAAACCAATTGCCAACATCGAACTGAATGGAGAGAAACTTAAGCCAATTCCTCTAAAATCAGGAACAAGACAAGGCTGTCCTCTCTCTCCATATCTCTTCAATATCATACTAGAAGTTCTAGCTAATGCTATAAGACAACAAAAGGAGATCAAGGACATCCAAATTGGAAAGGAAGAAGTCAAACTGTCTCTATTTGCAGATGATGTGATAGTTTACATAAGCGACCCAATAAACTCTACCAGGGAACTCCTACAGCTGATAAACACCTTCAGCAAACTAGCAGGATACAAGATAAACTCAAAAAAAAACAGTAGCCCTATTTTTTTCAGACGACAAAGAGGCAGAGAAAGAAATCAGAGAAACATCACCCTTTACAATAGCCACAAGCAACATAAAGTATCTTGGTGTAACGCTTACCAAACAAGTAAAAGATCTATATAATAAGAACTTTGTTACTCTAAAGAAAGAAATTAAAGAAGATACCAGAAAATGGAAAGACCTCCCTTGCTCTTGGTTAGGTAGGATAAACATAGTAAAAATGGCAATCTTACCAAAAGCAATCTACAGATTCAATGCAATCCCCATTAAAATCCCACCACAATTCTTCACCGACCTTGAAAGGATAATAATCAACTTTATATGGAAAAACAAAAGAACCAGGATAGCCAAAACAACCCTATAAAATAAAAGAACTTCAGGAGGCATCACCATTCCTGACTTTAAGTTCTACTACAGAGCTATAGTTCTGAAAACAGCCTGGTATTGGCATAAAAATAAACAGGTAGACCAATGGAATCGAATTGAAAATCCTGATATTAATCCACGCACCTATGAACACCTGATTTTCGACAAAACAGCTAAAATTATACAATGGGGCAAAGACAGCATCTTCAACAAATGGTGCTGGCACAATTGGATGAGGGTGTGTAGAAGACTGCAGATAGACCCATGTCTGTCGCCATGCACAAAACTCAAGTCCAAATGGATCAAAGACCTCAACATCAATCCAGCCACATTGAACCTCTTAGAAGAGAAAGTAGGAGGTACCCTTGAACAAATTGGTATAGGAGACCGCTTCTTGAACATAACTCCAGGGGCACAGACACTGAAAGAAACAATTAATAAATGGGACCTCTTCAAACTTAGAAGCTTCTTTAAGGCATAGGACACAGTTGACAAGACCAAACGGCAGCCCACTGACTTGGAAAAGATTTTCACTAATCCTATATCCGACAAAGGGCTGATCTCCAAAATATACAAAGAACTCAAGAAACTAGTCAACAAAACACCAAATAACCCTATTAAAAAATGGGGTACAGAACTGAAGAAAGAATTCTCAATGGAGGAAATCAAAAAAGCTGAAAGACACTTAAGAAAATGCTCCACATCCTTAGCTATCAGGGAAATGCAAATCAAAACAACTTTGAGATACCATCTTACCCCTGCCAGAATGGCTAAAATTAGAAACACCAGTGATGACTTATGTTGGAGAGGATGTGGAGAAAGTGGAACACTCCTCCACTGCTGGTGGGAGTGCAAACTCATACAGCCATTTTGGAGATCAGTATGGCGGTTCCTCAGGAAAATGGGAATTAGTTTACCACAGATCCCGGCAATCCCCCTCTTAGGCATATACCCAAAGGATTCACATCAATGCAACAAAGACATCTGTTCAACTATGTTCATAGCAGCACTATTTGTAATAGCAAGAACCTGGAAGCAACCTAGATGCCCTTCAATTGAAGAATGGTTAATGAAGATGTGGCACATCTACACAATGGAATACTACTCTGCAGAAAAAAATAATGGTATCTTGAAATTCGCAGGCAAGTGGATGGCACTTGAAGAAAACATCCTGAATGAGGTAACCCAGTCACAAAAAGAGAAACACAGTATGTACTCTCTCATATATGGATTTTAGAACTAGATCAAATGATCACCAGCCTATAATTCACATCACCAGAGGAACTAGGATACAAGTTGTATTCTAAGAGATTCATATAAAGTCCCTCACAGAACTGGGAAGGGACAAGTCCCCCAGACCTCAGGTAAAGTGGGGGAGGACAGCTAATGGAGAGAGAAGTAGGACAAAATGAGAGGGAGGAGAGGAAGTCATGTGCGACCAGGAGGATTGAGCCTGGTTAGGAATGGAAAATAGGAAAGAGAGAGAGAGAGACAGAGACACAGAGAGAGAACATAAAAGAGGGAGCCAATATTGGTTTGAAGATAAAGTTGAACACAAAGAAAGGTCGAGGGAACTACAAGACTGCTCCCAACTATCAATCTCAGCTTCCGTGGAAAGGCTATCATAAATGCCCTTCCCGGAGAGTGAGATCAACAACTAACTTCTCCATGGAGTCCTCAACTAATGCCTGTTGAAAACAGGAGCAAACACCCATACATAAACACTGAGTCGAACTAGAACCCAGAAGCAGATGGAGAGGACAAGACCATGCGGTAGAAGTACATAGAGACAGCTTACCTGAGCAAGGAGGAGCTAAGGGCCACTAGACTGATAGCTGGGAAGCCAACAGGGGACTGACTCGGACCCCCCTGAATATGGGTCTCAGCCAGAAGGTCTGAGCAGTCTAAGAGACCTCAGACAGTGGAGCCAGGATGTATCCCTGGTGCACAAAAGGACTTTGCAAACATATCCCCCCATGGAGGGATAACTGCCTTATTCTAGAGATAGGAGAGAAGCCCTAGTCCCTACTTCACAGGACCTGTCAGATCTACATGACCCCAACTGGATGGCATTCCCCTACATATGGTATTGTGGTGGGGGGTTGGGAGGGGAGGGTGTTTAGAGTCCATGGGAGAGGGTAGAGAGGGCAAAAGGGAGGGAAGGAGGGAGGGAGGGCTGGAGGGGAGGGAGGGAGGGAGAGAGAGGGAACTGGGATCGACATGTAAAATAATAAATTAAAAAAAAAAAAAAAAAAAACGCTTTGACTCCAAAATTTAAGTTGAAGAACAAGTTACTGGGGAAAAGTATTTCTATTTTTGTTTCCACAGAAAATGAAAAGATGTGGATTCCTTCCAGACTAATGTGGTTTGATCACACCAGACGGCCTGAAACAGAGTACAAGCTGATCCTACATTCCAAACAGCTGGACAAAACAACCCTACAGACTACAGCTAGGATATCTGAATCTTCTTCGAATCCCCCAAGACAGCGCCCCTTACCAGCAGGAAGTGGTTTGGAAAGAACGACGCCCAAATTCCCAAATATTGTGTATAAATGTTTGTTTTCATTTAATTGGACTTTGTTACATAAAATTAAATAAAAAAAACAAATAAATAAAAAAAGAAAAAAAAGTGTCAAATTTTAAACAACTCAAAATAGAGACTAAGCTGGTTTAAGGAGAGGGAAAATATCAAAAATACTGAATTTGATTTCAATAAAAAAAACATGCCTATGGGGACAGCTGGAAATGCAAGATAGACTCAAATATCTTGACACATACTAAAAGATGATATATGAAAATATGAACCTTAGAGGGACATTTGTGCAAGGAAGTACAAAGCAGAGAAAAATGCCAAGGGCAGAGAGAAAACAGATACCTCACAATGGGAGAATAAGAAAAAGAGTGAAACAAAGTTCTCAGACTTGTAGAGAGGGAAATAGAATAATATTGAAAGAAGAAACAAATATTTAAATAGTACGCATAAATGATATTGGCTATGGGTATCAAAAAGCTACTTTGCAGCTTAGCAGTGCCTAAGGAAGTAATTTCTCACTATGTTTTGGGGGAGAGACATATTAAATACTGTACCTACTGTACATATCTATTTAAAGGCAAACTCCTCAATGTCATATTTTTCATTTAAGGCAAAAAATGTATTGGAAGTATACTTAACTTTAAAGTTTAAATATCTTAATAAGAGATTTTTTAATGCAAGGGAATATAGGGAAAAATAAAGTGTATAGTATTTGTATTGAAGATAGTCTAGATTCCAAGATCTCAAGAAGTTTTTGGATAATTAAAATCTATGAGCATTTCTATATTCCTTTTAAAATAAAATACTATGCACACAAATTTTCAAATCATCATGAAAATTACATGTCATAAACAGTTTATCTTGGGTAATACATTCTGTTAAAATATTCAAGGCTGTTTCAGCAAATGAAGCCTTGTTTATTTCCAAACTTTAAAATGATTTACCGTTGGAAATATCTACTGCACTTATTTCAACTAAAATGTGAAACTGTCAACAACAACCAAAAAGTCAGTGATTACAGTTTTCCCACTAACTAACAAGATAATTTTCTACCCACAAATTCCCTCTGACCAAAGTCTACATTTTCTTTCATTACCTGGGCTCTAAGTTGTTGAATTTCTGCTTCCAGTTCTTTGATTTTTTCGTCTTTTTTCTGAAGCTCTGCTTGAGCTTCCTGTCGAGCTGTGAATTCTTCATCAAACTGCAATGACCATGATCATAAATGTATAGTTAATGAGACATACTGGGGAAAGATTTGAACAACATTATATAGTAAATATGCAGCATGGTTTTTGCTTTGCTGCATTCAAAGTTCACTCAGAGAAATAAAGTTCTTAATAATGCTCAAAAAAAAAAAAAAAAAAAAAGAACCTAAGTATCCACACAAGGAATATTTACTTTTTATAAATAATGGAAAAGGGGGGTGAATTATGAAGTCTATGTTCACATATAATTGAAATTTGATTGCTATAGAAAATTCAATTGTAGAATCAATATTATTTATTAATGACATGCCCATTCTTAAATTTAATTAGAAAGCAAAATATAGACTATGTAATGAATTCACAAATTCTTAAGAATATTTAATCTTAAAAACAATTGCTTTCCCACAATGACTGCAAGTATGTTCATTAACACAAAATGGACAAGGGTATTATTGTTGTCATAATCTTCATCACTCAGCAGCCAAAAAGAGGTGATTCATAAAATCTGACAGTAAAATGATATACACTGAACTTTTATTCTCTATCAGATAGTTAACAAAACCCTCTTTAAATAACTCCAAAACAGGATCAAACACCCATACATAAACACTAGAACCAAGATGCAGATGGAGAGGACAAGACCATGTGGCAGAAACACATACAGACAGCTTACCTGAACAAGGAGGAGCTAACGGCCACCAAACTGATAGCTGGGAAGCCAGCATGGGACTGACTCAGGCCCCCCTGAATATGGGTCTCAGCCAGAAGGACTGAGCAGTCTAAGAGACCTCAGACAGTGGAGCCAGGATGTATCCCTGGTGCAAAAAAGGACTTTGCGAACATATCCCCATGGAGGGATAACTGCCTTAATCTAGAGACAGGAGAGAAGCCCTAGTCCCTACTTCACAGGACCTGTCATATCTACATGACCCCAACTGGATGGCATTCCCCTATATATGGAATTGGGGTGGGGGGGATGGGAGGGGAGGGTGTTTAGAGTCCTTGTGAGAGGGCAGAGAGGGTAAAAGGGAGGGAAGGAGGGAGGGAGGGATGGGGGAGGGAGGTAGGGAGGGAGGGAGGGAGAGGGAACTGGGATCGACATGTAAAATAATAAATTAAAAAAAAAAATGCTTTGACTCCAAAATTTAAGTTGAAGGAGAAGTTACTTGGGAAAAGGATTTCTATTTTTGTTTCCACAGTAAATGAAAAGATGTGGATTCCTTCCAGACTAATGTGGTTTGATCAATCCAGACCACCTGAAACAGAGTACAAGGTGATCCTACATTCAAAACAGCTGGACAAAACAGCCCTACAGACTACAGCCAGGATATCTGAATCATCTTTGAATCCCCCATGACAGGGCCCCTTACCAGCAGGTAGTAGTTTGGAAAGAACGACGCCCAAATTCCCAAATATTGTGTATAAATATTTGTTTTCATTTAATTGGACTTTGTTATATAAAATTAAATAAAATAAAAAAATAACTCAAAGAAGGAAAATGAGGGCAGCTGTACTTGTGCAAAGGCATACCAACCTTAGTTTGATCCTTGAACCACGTAAGATGGCAGAAGACCTCTCCACTTGGGCAGACACATTCCAGTACGTAAACACACACACACAGACACACACACACACACGTAAATACACACAAGCATGTGTGCGTATGTGCATTCACCAGAATAAATCAATAATTGTATAGTGCATAATAGAGGAAGAGAAGAAAAAGAGGGTGAGAAGTGAAAATGTGGGGTACTACAGATACCAAATATCCAAAAGTTGCATGTACACTTCTGCACTGTGTCCTAGCTCTTACCTTAGCCATTACTCTAAACAGATACTTGTTGGGCTACATATTTACAGAAAATGCTGTATAGGTTTCCCAACAGAATATTATTTACTTTTTATTGTGAATACCAACCCAAATGATTTATATGTCTGTAGACTATCCCAAAATATTATTTCTGTTTCTAAAATTGATATATCTTACCATCCAGAACTGTCTTTAAAGAGAATGAAATATAGGGCAGCACATTGCCTATTTGTAAATATTCATCCTCCTATTAAACATGACCCTTGGCTATAACAGAATGTCAATATGGTTGGTTAAAAAAGGTGTCAGGGTATGTTTACATCAAACCTGAAACAGTATTTAATTATGCGTTTTTTCTTCTTTGTCTGACTACTTAAAAAATGCATTAGAGAGAATGTGAAAAATCTATTATAATATAACTAAATCCCAAAACTACAACAAATATACGAAGTGAAGGATCTATAGCTCCTACAAAGACCTTGTTTTTCTACTTCGCTGAAAAGGCAGAGTAATAAGCATCTAAAATACCAACACTCAGGATGCAGAGACAGGAGGATCATTGTAAGATAAAAACCAGCTTAGACTACTGAGATCTATTGCAAGAAGAAGGACACAATAAGACTTGGTCTTCATAATCAAAACAAAATGAATTCCCTAAATCTAAAATCATAACTCTTCTTCCAATGGTAGTCTTTCCTATACAGCTTTTCAAATATGCACGCATCTTTCCACATGAACACATTTTTTTTTCTCCTTTTAATACTATGCTTCCTATAAACACACAAAATAGGAATGGTACACACCTAAATATGGGAAGTAGAGGAATATTTTTCCTGAATTCCTTATCTTAATACTCTTCTTTTAATGATGAAGACAGCATAATCCAAGGATAATAAGTTGTTTGTTAGAATAATAATGAATTAGTGAAAAAGCTTAGATTAGATCTTGGAATCAATGACATTTTGAAAAAGAAGGGAGTATGGGTATCATAATGTTGTACAAATATCAAAACTCTTAAAGACCTAGTAAAAAACTGAAAAACTATTTTACAATGCCTTTCAGGATAATTCACTAGGGAATACATGTAGGTAACTCGGTTAAAGTTATATATCCATTCTAAATAGAGGCAATTAACATTGCAGGTGATTTGTATTTTTTTTCATTTATTTTACATCCCAACCACAACTTCCCCTCCGTCCACTTCTTCCTCTCTCATACCCTCTGCTCCCCCAATCCAACCTTCCTCTATTATCACTCAGAAAGGAGAAGGCCTCCTATGAACTTCAGCAAAGCATGGCAATATCAAGTTGCCATTAAGCACAAGCACCTCCTCCTGTATTCAGGTTGGGCATTGCAATATTTATGAGGAATAGATTCCCAACAGGAAGCCCAAGCACCAGGGACTGTCCGTGCTCCCATTGCCAGGAGTCCCATGAGTAGACCAAACAACACAACTGTCACATATAAAGGACCTAGGTTGATCCCATACAATCTCCCTGGTTGTTGGTTTACACTCCTTTAGTTCCCATGAGGCAGGCAAGTGATTTCTATGGGTTTTCAGTTGGTGATTATCACTGGATTTTTCTACAATTTCAGAACAACTTGTGTAATTACAGAAAATGACAAAGATAGGTCATCACAATGCACTCCAATATTACAATGTCTAGTCAAATTTGAGGAGAGCCAGTGACATTCAACTGAAATTTAAGACATGCTATTTAAAAGGAAGTCACAATAAATATAAAGGCCTATTACTAAAAAACATGCCATTTATTTACCAATAAAAGACAGTTTCACACAATCTCATTGTGCACAACTCAATCTCTTAAAATCTATTCTAGTACATAAAAGAGCAAAAAGATTCCTGAAAATGCCCTGAAGTAACTCTATAATTTCCAGAGTGATAGAAAAAGTGATGATCTAATCTATAAGGTAAGTCATAAAGTTAAAGAGTGAGCAATACATAAGTACTTTGTCTTGCTGTCAGATATCTGAACACTGGGGGTGTTTCTCTGCCTTTTGTTTCAATACTCTCTGGATGTGAAAGAGAGAGACAATCTACTATTTATTAACAGGGAGAACAAGTAAGAAAGAAGGAGGCTAAATAGGTAGGAGAAGGAGGAACACTTGAAACCTTGATTATTTTATTAAACAGTAATGAAACGGTACATAGGCTTTCACGAAATAAGAAAAGGCTGAGGTAATGTCTACAGAAAACCATAATATCACAATGATTGTGTTTATTCGATTCATTTATAAGCACAGAAAAAAGGAAGAATTTCAAGTTCAAACAAGGCTACACAGAGGAACAGCATCATTGAATAAGTGGTAATAAGAAAATTCCAAGTACTATAAAGAAAGAGAAATGAAGGGACAGCAATAGATAATGCATTCCAAGTATAGACTGCTATCAATACCAATAACCTTTTTGTTATAGTAACAAAGCCATGGCATTATTCATGGCAAAAAAAAAACAAACAAACAAAAACAAAACAAAAAACAAAAAAACAAAAAAGCATTCTAACCACCAAATTTCATCACCAGCACAAAAGACATAGCTTTAAAGGCAACTAAAGGTTTCCCAGTTCTCGATGGAGCTGTGTAGCATGCATGAATGCTAAAGAAAAGCAGCAAAGGAATCTGTTTAGGAATGTAACTACATTGCCTTTCAGCTAGCTAATTTTATCTCATATCCCTAAGTATGAGGCTAGTGTATTCTCACCTAAATGAATTTGGTGGATGGGAGCGAAGGAAACCATACCAATCTTATCTTACTAGGAAATAAATCAATATTGTACAAAGTTTGATTTTAGTAGTATAATGTACTACAAAACTGAAACGACAACTTATACAGTTCATATTGAGAAACAAATATGATTATGGTTAAATTCTTATATATTGTCTTTAAAATTTTACATTTAAAACTGAGGACTACTATTTTTCCTGTCTTACCTTCTTTGAAAATTCCATTGCTTTTTGCTCACTTTCTTCAACTTTTGCCTTGTTGACACAAGCATCTATTCAGATGAAGGAAAATGATTAGAAATATATGAGATAGATAGAGTCTCCAGCTAATTATGGATGACAGTATACAATTCTGAAATTCCTAAATGAAGTATCATTAAAGGGAAATTAATCTATAATATAATGAACATATAATACTGCATTTTCATTGTTTGGTATTAAAGCAAAAACCTCAACAATCCTTAAATAATTAGGTGAAATTATCCCTGAAATGAAAGTCTTTAATTAAAATTAAACTTTTACCAGTATAGAATTTATTTGAAAATTGCACATTATTATATAGAGTGGAAGCAAAGACTCCATGTTCAAGAAATGGAAACTCAAAATGATCCTCTAAAAAGCTTGGGGAGAAAGAAGCAGTGACATTCATCAGTTCAGGTTTTCAGGTAAAATCTTTTACTCGAATTCAGATCTGAAACAAAATGTATGTTGCACAAATGGAACTAAATTCAAAATTATTCAGGTCTAGTTAATAAATGTAATGGAAACACCTCTTTAGTGTCAGGCTGTATCTTTGTGTGTTGCCCCAATATTTCTTCAAAGGAAAATAAAACATATCTGAATTGCACATTTATATAAATGATCCCAAACAGCTTTATTACAATAGTTGAACACTGGAAAGAATAAAACTGGCCACAAAAATATGCATTGTGTTATATTCATACATGAATACTACTTAACAATATAAGAGGACAAACTATCAATACATGAACTGCAACATGGCTGAATCTCAAAAATATTATGCTTAATGAAAAAAGACAGACACAGAAAAAATGTGCTACATGGCACTAGTTACATAAGATTTTAGTAAAGAAAACTGATGAGAAAAAAATTAACCTAAAATAAAGTCAGTATAAGAGAGATTATTAGTACATGTGTCTATTTTCAGTGACACTTTCAGTGATCCAAACAGTATATGACTAGACTAGGAGAAACAAAGACAGAAGATAGCAAAATTGAAGGAGCAATACACATTATGATCTTAAATACAATTGTGGTTTTAAGTATATAATGTATTAATATATGTATGTATTTATTAATTTATATTGTAAAACATAAAAATTTACCTAAACTATATTTATTAGCTACATATGTATGTATTAATTAGCTTATATATTAAAATATAAGTAATTTTCTCAACTCAAATGTATATTTTTATACATTTTTAAAAACTATATTATCTTATTTTATATTTATGGATCTTTGGCCTGCATATGTCTGTTCATCACCTGCTTGCATTGCCCACAGAGGCCAGAAGTGGGCATAGGATCAAACAGATTTCAGATGGTTCTGAGTTGTCATGAAGGTGGTGGGTATCCAGACTTGCAGGTACACTGCAAGACCAAGTCATATTCTTAACTCCTAAGCACTCTCTCTTGTTACAAGTATTTAATGTGCTTCATATTGTAAAAAATGTTAGAATGTTACATACAATCAGGCAAGTTGTATTGTCAAAAGAGGTCTTATAAGAGTAATGCAAGTCAAAGCTGACAATGATTTTTACTTTGATTTCTAACTAAATTCCAATGTGAACTTATTCAAGTTTTAGAAAAGGATCAGCTATGATTTAAGAAAAACAATAGATGTACAGAAATGTGAAATAGGCCCAGATTAGAATACACAGGTACAAGAGATATTCAAATAGAGATCCCTGCATCTTTTGAACAACTTTGCATATATTTGTATTTGCATATGCTTACATATGTATATTTCAATGAAAGCTCCACAATATCCATAAACTTTTCAAAAATAATTGGAAGGGAAAGTAGCTCACATAGTTCAAGGTTGAGGCTTTGTAAAAATATTTGGTCTTTGAAATTCCTAGCATCACTGATATCAATTAACTGTGAAAAAGCAATAAGAGAATGTACAGCAATTACATACAAGAATGATCAGTTAAGATAGCTATTAAAAAAGATTTTTTGAGCCAGGTGTTGATGAAGCATGGCTTTAATCCCAGCACTCAGCTGGCAGAGGCAGGAGGATCTCTGTGAGTTCTAGACCGGTCTGGTCTACAAGAGCTAGTTCCAGGATAGCCTCCAAAGCCACAGAGAAATCCTGTCTCAAAAAACAAAAACAAAAACAAAAAAACATTATTTTTGGGTGACGGAGTTCAATTAGTAGATTGTTTTACAATTTTAAGGCTGTGAATACAATCTAGAAGTCATAATAACAGAAAACAATAACTGCGCAGTATTTGAAATAATCATGATAGATCATAATGACACGTAGTAAACAGTTCCAATTTGAATGCAAACATGGTCAAAACTTCACAATGCTCTATGAAAATTCAGATTACAAGTAGTTACATTGAAAGACAGACACGTGCATAAAGAAAAAGCTATTTAAAATGTATTTGTTGAAAAACATGTGATTTTGATATTTGTCATTACTCTACATTGCCTACATTAAGTATGGAATCTCATTATAAAAATAAAATGATATATGAGAAACAATGTGCAATCTCTGACTCCTTTGTGACTCTGTCCTCAGCAATGAAGTGAAAAATATTATAGAGATGTTATACAACAACCTTCTTTTCATTAAAAACAAGCAACTTCATGCTTCATTCTAGGCCATGTGATTATCTATAAATACAAACCCCTATACAGACCCGTAGGACATATGATATAATAGAAGGGAAACTTTCATCACTAATGAGCCTTTTACAAAGATATCCTATCTGGCATTCTTACTTAAGGTAAGTTCTTTATCATGACATTTCTTTTCTCAAAATTGAGAACCAGTAGTAACATGTCTAAAATACTGAGACTCTACTCCACACATAACTCCCACAATCTTTCTGTGAGGATGAACTGAACTAAGGGATACTAGCATCATGCTTTAAAACAGCAAGGTATGCCCTTCTTTAAAAAATTCCTGTTATTGTTGTGGGGCATGACAACTGACAGTCAACTGACTTGGTGGTAGTGAAATTTATCAGAAAGATCAATATATGTGAACTTATAAAGACAATTTGTATGATTTTCAGAACTAATATTTATGACAGTTGAGCAGCCATCATAATAAAGATTTAGCAGGTACTAACAGAAGTGCACAATATACAGAAGGTGTGAATCATGAATGTTACCAGAGAGTACAATCCATACCTATCAGGTGAGTGAGGTCAATGTCTAATCTCTGCCTGTACTTGAAGTCTGGGTCCATGCCACTGCAGTGCAGCACTATCTGGGAAACACACTCCTCAATTATTTTATAATACTGTGGCCTAAAAAGGAGAGAAAATATTTGAGAATACATTTCTACTTGCATCAATCAATTTTCTTATGAAGGGATAGAGAATGATAAAAGAACTCAGTTATTTTTTCCAGCACCAATAAGAAAATGATTCCACTAACATTTACATTTCCTTAGAGAAAATATGATTAAGACTTAAAGATGGCCTGAACATTTTGGGGCCAAAATGAGTGTGATATGATCAACTGAAAATATGTACTGACTTGATATTCTAGTTTGTACAGACTCTTGCTTATGTTCAAAAATACTTATCAACCCCATGTGCTTACTTAAGGTTTCTAAAGTTAATGAAAATGAATAACCCCCTAGTTCTATGAGCACAGAAATTGCTCTAGACAGCCACAAGCTCTCATTTTCAAAAAAAAGATGAGTTTCTTGTCATTAGGTGGCAAGCAACGTCTTGGATTTAGTACAGAATATTTACTCAGAATAGTCACATCATTTACAAAACTGCACTGAGGCATTTCTATTATAGACCAATGCAAAGACTTATGTATACAACATGTTTCAGATAACATCTATTGTATAAATCAATATACACTTAATAGGCATAATAATAGCAGCAATGCGTCTGATGTATCAAAGGTTTTAAAATACACCACACTTCCGTAATCTCCTAAGGTAATTCTGTCCTTACTAATAATCACTGACTAGAAAAGGAAAAATATGGGGACATTTTGTTTTAAAATTTGTGAGACACAAATTGGCATAGATTAATAAATTCAATGGTATTACAGAAAAGTGCTACTTTAGACAAATTACGACATAAACAATACTAAACATATCTTTTCAACCTACTAAAAACTGTAAAACAAAGAAAAAGAGATTCTAATTACCCTTCTGTGTGTTTAATAATGTGGCTGTTCAAAAGAGCAAGAATAAAAAGAAGTGTATTGCATGGCTGGGGCTTTTAAAACTCATCATCAGACCTGGAGATGAATAGTATTTGTCCTTAACCTCAATGTGGTAAACCACTGCTTGGAGAACTAAGAAAAACACAAATCTTCTCTTTGAGGGGAATTTTAGTAAAGCACCAATCACATATCTCTATCTCACAGGGTATCTCACACTAAGATGAAAGGATGGCACTGGCTCAAGAGACAGCTAAGTGGATAGAAACACTAGCTGTGCAAGAAGGAGGACCTGATTTCAAATGCCTAGAACCCAAGTAAAAAGGCAGGCATGGTGATTCACAGCTGTAACTGTCTGGGGAGGTTGGTAGAAGGAACAAATGAAGCTAATAGCAGTCTTGCAGTTTCAATGAGAATGACCAATAGATTAGCAGAAGTTGACAGTGCACAAGAACCAATTTGACCTCTGGCCTCTGTCTGTGGTCACATAAACAAAATTACAAAAATACTGTACATACATGGACAAACGGATACACACACAGAGAGAGAACTTACTCACATAACACACATTTTTAATAGATGCCACATGGAAAATTTTTATGATTAATTAGTATTTATTAAGAATAGATACTTCTGCCAAATTTTGTTCCCAGGTAAGTAAATAATCATGACCACTGTACCCGCACATTGTGTGTTATAATTTATAGTGGTTTTTAAAAAGCATGCATTAGTAGTCTCAACTTGTTTCTGTCTCCTCAGCAGCAAGATGTTGATCTAATTACTGTAGTAGCCTGAAGAAAAAAAAATAGCACTATATGCTATTTTTAAAATGTCAATTTTTGTTGGCAATACAACTAACACTCTGATAGCCTTTCTTTTTTATTATTCAAGCAAGTTTTGAGAACTTAAAGACCCTAGTATGTCATAATTGCATACATTTGAGAGTGTAAATTAAGTTAGAGAAATATCATTGACTTAAGACCATGGTCATGAAACTATAATTTCAGTCACCCATAAACCTATTGCTATATAAGCTTCCAGTTTTTAGATATAGACCCTATCAAGTATTCTAAAGCTTAACTCTATAGGTTACATCACATTTACCAATTTTAAAAATAGTTTAATTGGACAAAAGTAAAATATATTTATTTTTTCTGCATTTAAAAATCACAAAATATATACAATATTTTTCTGCATTTAAAGATCACGCATTTACTAAACATTATAAAAGTGATGAAAATTTACTTGTTAAAATAGGAAGATTTCAAACGTTCTACCAACTCTAATGTTTTCACTGATTTATCAGTATCAAGAAGAAAAATTTATTAAAGACCCAATAATATATGACAGGTTAATTTATACTTATATTCTGGTTGCTTATGTGTATGATAGTTATATGCAGCTATGCTTTCTGGTCCAATTAAATAAATGAATTTTTTTCAAAATGTTGCCTAAAAAATTAAATCTCTTATATTTTATGTACATATAATGCATGGATTTCCTTAGCCCAACTACTTTGTTAACTTCTTTTTAATATCCAATTCAAATTATACATGGAATCATCTCTAAATGAAATTTACCTGATATAATAATCATTTCTGATAAGCAGACAGTGCTGCAAAATGGATAATAAATAGCTTTCAGCTGTAGTGTCTTTCAGCATGTTATAGAGAAGATGGTAGACTTCATTCATATCAGTAGAAAGTGAGTAAAGGAAAACATCAAAGATTCTCAATGAATAGTGCATTTATGACTAAAGCAGCTTAAATTTAATTTAAATTTAATTTAAATTTAATTTTCTTAAAATTAAACACTTATTACTTGGTTTCCATTATGGTTAATAAGGTTTCTAATCCATGACCTAGCATTAAAACAACTACATCAAGAAAAAAAATAATAATCCTGTAATTAGATAAACAAACCTAAAGGAAATTTCCAAGAGTGTTTGGGTATCAACATCTTTAATAATCAGGTCATCCATTATATTGTCAACTTAATATAATAATTAGAGCCATTGAAATGGCAATGCCATTGTTGAAAGAGGATTTGTCTTGATCTGTCTATAGTTCCAATAGAGCCAGTGCAGGTCTATTTTTATTCTCAGATAAAAAGAATTGTCAAGCAAATATTCAGATGTCAAAAGATCACAAAACTAGCTTTATTTTAAATATTTAAATAAGTCTAACATGATATATGTTTATACTTGAGCTGAAAAGTCCATGAACATTATGATACTTTTTTTTAGGATATAAAAACTAGTGGTGTAGAACTAGTAATAATCTAGAAAAAACGTCAAGTGTGGACTCATATGTACTGGGTATATTTAAAGTCGATATAAAATAAAACTAAGAGACAAAAATCAATCCAACACCCTGAAATACCACGAAATGGGCAGCAGAATTAAACATACAATGTACTAATTTACACACCACATGCTGAGTTAATATATCATGAGGACCTTAAATGGTTATAGAATTATGATGATCAATTTTGTCAATACAAAGCATGTTTATTGATAAAAATCTATTTTTACTAATTTTAATTTGATTTTATTAATTTTTAAACAGTTCTTATTATAATAACATTTCTATTCATTGTATCTTTTTTTATCCAAGAGATGAGAAGAGTAGATAAAGAAACATAAGGCAAATGAAGTACTAATGGAGTTAGTAAGGAAATATTGTTCCTGTTTGTTTAGAATATGGGAAGAAGAAAGATAAGAAAATATTATAGATAGAAAAGCACATATCATAGGTTACTTTGATTCCCAAGTGTTTTCTTCCTTCATAGAATCCAAAAGAATAAATTTTAATAGGAGGGGAACAAATTGCAGAACTAAGACAATCACATCTTATATCTCAAACAATTTCACATCAGACAGTCGGCACGGGAAGATTATATGTTGTTGTATATGATGTAAACTCTTTTATAACACTTTGTTATAGAAAGCTACTATTTTAACTCACAATTTTTCTATTATTAGGGAACACAAATATCTTATAAGAAATAAGATATTCATTTCCAGAAAAATGTATCTATAAGTAGATTAGCATTAAATAAATACAAAATATCTCTTAGCTAGTATCACATATGAACTCAAAGATCTTTTGCTCATTCTTATTGGTAAGACATACTGCCTTAGGCTCTTTGCTCTTAGGCTCTTGTTTATCGGAGACCACTGAGCAGGGTGTATCTCTAATACACTGAGCCATTGTGCAGATTTCAATTGTCTGAGTACACCATCAAAGCACAGCAGCAATTTCTCAGCATGGATAGATATCAAGGACAGCATCATGGTGGAGTATTAATATAAATAAGCAGTTCTAACTTTGTTCACAGACAAAGACTCTGATAACATTTTTAAAATATCATCAAGTCTGCTTTTAAACATAAGTGTAAAATTAGGTAATTATTTGGTTTGTCAAAGGATATTCCATTTCAGCTCGAATGTCATTGAGACGGTGGGATAATTCAGTAAGATCATCTTCTTTGTTTTCTTCAAACACCCTTAACTGTATATCAAGCTCATCATTCTCCTTTTCTTTAAGACCCTGATATAAATGATAAAATTCAGCAAATGAATGACAATTTAAAAATAGCACACCTGGTAATCAGGACAGAATAACATTACTCCTTTGTACACAGATGCAATTTCAAACATTAACCCAGGACATTGCTTTCCTAAAAGAAAATGAATATAACTAAAGTTTTCTATTACAAAATGAAAGAACCTCAAATCATTCTTTACATTTTCTTTCCATGCTCTAAATCTTGGCTGTTCAGATTAAAAATATTAACAATCATTTCTGTAACAACAACAACAACAAAAACAAAAAATAACCTACTAATTGCTACAACCCAAATTCAATGCTGTCATTTTTACTAAACATACTCATCAGAAATCATGCAGTTAGATCATTCATATGTGCCTCTGGGCACCAAGAAAATGAAGCAAATATAGATCAGTTGTATTAATGAAGAACAAATATAACGATATATTCAAGCACAATAGTCCCAAGTATGGCCTGGAAAAATTGTATGAACAAATTTATTATGAATGATATTTTGTGTTTTTAAAGCAAAAGGGTACTAACATTTTTTAAGAATCGAGATATAACTAGCCACCATTGCAATCTTTCATTTTCATTTAGCCGAATTACAAATTACCAACTTGGGCATCATGATTTGTTTCTGTAATATATCATGAGCACATGCATTACAAATCTCTTATAATTTGCCAAATAATAATAATATAAAAATGTTTGGATAAGCATGCCACACTAGAGATTTTTGGGCTCAATATATATCACCTGGAAAATCTTTTAATATTTGTCCATTAAGTTGCAGCTTTGAAACCTCAAATCGATAATAACACTGTGGATGCTCAAGGGTGATACCCAAACTGGGATTGTGATGTTCAGAGCTGAGATTGAACTCTAAAAAAAAATGCAAGCAAGGTGTACTTCAAATTAGATAAAGAAAGAAAACAGGATGCATTTCTTCCTTCTATTTTTGTTTCTATTTTGATTCAAGAAGAAGGATGTAATGGCTATTCTTGAAGGAAAACACAAAACAAAGCAATTTTTATGTTCTTTCTTTAAATTCATGCATAAGAATTTACCAATTTTTAACACATTTAAAAATATAAAAATAAAATCCTATAATACATTTAAAATATATTTTAAATATTTCTAAATAATCTTATATAAAGCATAAAACAAATAAATTATTTCCACTTTGTTTCTTGTAAACAAAGAACTTTATTTTGATTTAACTATCCATTTTCAAGGGAAAAAGGTTTATTTGAAAACAGAATTAGGTAATGTTTATGGACCATATTACAATATGAGAACAGAAGGAAGTTACAACCAGAACACATTAAGAACATCAAAAGTATATATTTCAGAGCAAGATATTCTCCTTATTATCCGTCATCCATTTAATTAGTACCAAATTGGTAAGTGGACATCAGACATAAAGCAAGGATAACCAGATTACAATCCTCAACCCCAGAAAAGCTAGGTAAAAAGGGGGACCCTAAGAAGAACACAGATGGAGGGCCCCAGGAAGGGGGCCTTTCAGGGTCAACTGGGAGCAGGATGGAAGGGGGTGATGGGAGATGGGCAATGGGAAAATGAGGAATCAAGAAGACAAAGTGGAGTAGGAGAGCAGTGAAAGAGATATCTTGATAAAGGGAGACACTGTGGGGTTAGGCAGAAACCTGGAGCTAAAGAAATTCCCAGGAATCCACAAAGATGGCCCTAGGTAAGACTCCTAGCAATACTGGAGAGGGTGCCTGAACTGTCTTTCTCTTTAATCAGATTAGTGACTACCCTAATTGTCATCATAGAACCTAAATACAGTAACTGATGTAAACATATGCACTGACACACAGCCAAGAACTGGGCTGATCTTCTGGAGCAAGGAGGAGGTCAAGATCAAGATGGGGGAAAGCCACAGACACAGATGACCAGAACTAGTAGGAGTTCATGGACTCTGGACTGGCAGCTACTAGGGAACCTGCATGGGAACAAAGTAGGCATCTCAATGTGGGTAACAGTTATGAGTCTTGATCTATTGGGGAGTGTTATGGGACTCTAGTAGTAGGATCAGGACATAACCCAGTTCATAAGCTGGCTTTCTGGAGCTCAGGCCTTGCTTCAACTTGGTAGGCCAGACTGATTCCTCATGGGAAGCCTTACCCTCTCTGAGGAGTAGATGGGGATGGGAAAAGGGGTTAGAGAGGGGCAGGAGAAGGGGAGGGAGGAGGAACTGGGATTGGTATGTAAAATGAAAAAAATTTAAATAAAACATTAGAGAAGTGCATAATTGAATATTTTCAAGGAAAGAAGTAATTGGCAAAGTATATAATTCATTTAAACAATTATCTCAATGAAATATAAAATATCCTATGTGTCTTATTCATAATTTTCTGACCTTATTAATATGTGTATATACAGACATATGCAATCATATTGGTAAGATTTCATTTCATTTATTAAACTATGAATGATATATCCATACTTTATTAATAAAAAAGTTTGAGAAATTAAACCAACTTTACACAGTAAAAAGGAATATGACAGGTCGAACACAGTTATATCACAACTAGACATATAGTCAAAGGATTCTAAATCCTACTACAGACGTCAAAAAGATATAAAACATGTCCATTGCCTGACAACATTATTTTTACTTTGTTGTTCCCTCATATATCTGATTTTCTTATTTACCTAAACAAAAGGCAGATGTAGAAATTTCAAAAACAGTCAAAATAAATTACTGAATAAGCAAATATATTTTAAAAGGCACTACAGCATATACATCAATTAATTTATGCCAAACTAGTAAAGCAAATTTATTTAAAGTGAATAATCTAAATTCCATTTAACAGCAAAATTTTAACCACCATGGCAGAGGGAATAAGAAAATACATATTCACATAATATATAAAATTTGATCTGTTATGAAGATTCCGATAACTACTTCCAAAACTTTCACTGACCAAAAATAATGTATAATGAAATGAAATATGTCTGATTCCCCTACCATTTAATTTTATTAGAGAGGTATAATTTTTGATGTATGGGCCAATCACTGAATGACATAGCTATAACAACAGCCATAACCATACCAAAGGCATTTATTAAGGTCTATTCTAGAAATATAGAAATTGTCTTATTTGAGCAATATAAAAAATAAGGATAAATTAAAAAGAAATATTTGAAAGTCTTAGGCTTATTTATTAATATATTCAAAGTTCAAAGACTACACAAACATTTTTATTATTATATATTCTAGTGCTTTACATGAACATATTTAGCACGTTTGTGTGTTAGTTAGGTACTAGTTGACATACAAAGTACACCTAGTATAAACTGAAGTATAACAATTTTAATCTTACTAAATCATGATAGCTAGAAAACAATAACAAAAATTTAAAGAAGTGTATGAAAGTGGAGAAATGATCCCCAGAGTAGGAAAGGCCTATCTGTCTAGATTCTATTTTTCATCAAATATAGCTGGGAAACTTATACTCAAAATAGACATTCCTAACCTACTCTCAATATGATTTTGACAATCATCTTTGAGGGAATATATACTCTCTCAGCTCACAGGTAAAGCCATGTTTATGAATATGTTAGTCCACCTTAAAATGAAATAGTTGAAAATCCCTATATGATTTATCCCAAAACTTCAGGAAATAAAACACAATGCTTTCCATTTTCCACATCCTAGGAAATCACTGAGATCTGAAGCGGGGCTTACCAGAGATGAGTCAATTAAAGAAAACTATCCACCCGCATCCCAGAAGCTATTCACATTTGAGAGATGCTGGGAAAAGGAACATCAGTTTGTGCCCATGAAACAATACTGGATATATCTACCACAGTCCATGGCAGATCCCATGCTCAGGAATAGTCAGCCAACACAAACCATGTTTCTGGAAGTTTTGATGTTGTTTTGAAGAGAGAGAAAGAACATGAAGTTGGGTCAGTAGAGAGATGGGAAAATATCTTGGAGAAGTAGAATAAAGAGAAAGAATATGATGAAATGTACTGGATAGAATGTTAAATGAACAAAGAAAGGCAATATTTAAAAAGAAAGTCATTTTCAGAAAATACGCATAAAAGATAAAAATAAGACAAATACTTGTGTTCTAGAATATACAGAGTGAGGGTACTCAGTTATCAGATATAGGCTATAAAAATATTCCAAATATAGTTTAAAATTACTTTAATTAGAACAAACACCTACATTCAATTGAATTTGAATTGAAATTGTTTCTCTTTAGAAAAGTTCTAAATAAGCTTAATAAAAATATCATACTTAAGCAAAACATCCTGAATATATGAGTCAAGTCTCAATATGAACACTTAGGCTAAATATAAATAAAAGTATCAAATAGGAAAGCAGAAAACATTTAAGGAAAAAACAAGTTTGCAAATATGTATGTTATATATATATATTTAAATCATTAACTGATTTAGGAATCATTCATTGCATAGTGAGATTAACACTACACACACACATACACACATATATATACATATATATTACAAAATGCCTCTTTTATTTGAGGCAATAACAAATAAAAAATCCGTGCTCTCCTTGAAAAAAACACCTGTACTTGAAAAGGCAAACAAATTAAAAGTTCAGTAGTACGATAAATAGACACATTCAACTTACTGGGAGCAATGCTTTTAGTCCAGAACGGAGAAATTCATTCCTCAAATGAATTCGAAAATCAAGATCATATGGAGAAGTGACAAGTGCATTTATGAACTGCATGCAGGCCACCTACAAAGAGAAAGTAAATTTCATTTAAATATGTAGGCACTTTAAAGAAATGTTTAGTACAACCAGGCTGCATAAACCCACAGAGAGAACTGACCTGAACAAGGGGAAGCTAATGAACTCTCAGACTAATAGCTGGGAAACCAGCATTGGACCAACTCAGACACCCTGAACATGGGTCTAGGAAGGCCTGGGCAATGTAAGGGACCTCTGACAGTGGAACCAGGATGTATCCCTGGTGCATGAAAGAATTTTGGATTCACATTACCAATGGAGGGATACTCCAGTAACCTAGAGGAAGGAGGGAGGGCCTATTCCCTGCTCCAAATGACTTCACAGATTTTGTTGATCCCTCCTAGAAGGCATCAACCTCCCTGTGGAGTGGGGGAAGGGATGGGATGGAATGGGGGTTAGGGGTCATAGTTGGGAGGAAGAGAGGGAGGGAGGAAGGGAAGAAGAGAGAGGGAACTGGGATCAATATATAAAATAAGAAAAAAATAATAATAAAATGAATAAGCTTAAAAAAAAAGATATACTTTGTCCAGCAAGGCAAATACAACATCCCTTTCAAAAAAAAAAATCTTAGTTAATACATGTAGGTAAAACATTCATTAAAGGCATATAAAATACAAGTATTTCTGCATACATATTTATATGAATTTGTATTATAAGCAACATTAGCAATAAAGATTACAATATCCAGTGTAATTTTAACAATGATATGAAAGTTAACAGAGTTTCTATATGTAGCATTGCAGACTGTTTTGGAACTAGCTCTGTAGACCAGGACTCGAACTCACAGAGATCTGCCTGCCTCTGCCTCCCAAGTGCAAGACTGTATTCTTATAAAAAAAAAAAGGTTAATATCTTTATAGAAATAAATGTATTTTATTAATGAAATGAAAATAGTAAAAGTCAAATTTAGTTAATACATCAATATTATATTACACATTGTTATAAAAATATCACTTCTATTATGTACTTTATATATTACATATACAAACACGGCTGAATATTTTAAAAACTTGAACACAGAGTCTACCATATAAAAAGAGTAGGTTATTTAAAGACAGTTGTCAAAAAAGAAAAGGGAACAAAATGCCATTTATTGCTCTCCAAATTATACAAGATACCTCATTAATAACATATCAACAGCGAAATACACCTCCTAGAGAATTACATCTAAAGACAAACTACTAATGTAAGTAAAAAAAACTGTTATATGTACTCATCTATGCTACAGTGATGACTTTCAAAGCACAATAAGTTAGGAATTGAAAACCAAAAGTATCGCAATATCTTAAATTAAAAATTAAATAATTACTTCAAGAAGCAAAACATATGATTATGAAAGACCATTGTGCATATCCAATATACAAAATAAATAGTTAAATGAAAAAACCTAAACTCGTACCATCTCTAGTGTTTAATTTTTATTAATTATTGCACAATGTATTAGGTGCTTTATATAATTTACTATCTAAAGTCACTCACAGAAAAAAATGAGATGTACATACTATTATATTTCTTTTACACATGGAAAAGTTGTAGCTTACAGAATTTACATAACCAATGAAGGTCAAATAGAAAAAGAAAATTATTTTTCTAAGTTTTACTACAAATAGAAAATGATTCCCGAAACATTTCAGATATCTTAGAAACTCTACACAAGGGTTCAAGCAAGAAAAGATTTAAAGGCAATATTAGGTGACAAAATTTATCTATTGTATCATGTTTGGTGAATGAGGAGCATCTACATTAGAGCTATCTATAATTATGAACACATGAAAATAATGTGACAATATGTTGTCTAGGATAAGAAGTTACCAAATATATATCATGAAATGCAAATAAAAATAGGAAAGGACAAAATGACACTGGATTTGGAGTACATGTCATCCCATAAGTATCACATAGAGAGTATCCCATAATCCAAATTAATGACTTCTCTTTCTTTTTTGCTATCCCCCAGGGCATTCCATATTCTATGTGAATGCACATTTAAACACAAGTACATGTATACAAGTTCACATAATGAAATTACAGTACTCTACTATTCAAATCAGGCCCTTCAAATCACAGATTAACTTCAATAGGAAATAAATCAAGAACCTACCTTCACTAGCTATAGTCCAATGGCATGAAAAATACATGTGATTTATAGGTCACATCCTGGACAACATGGATAAAGAATACTGCAAGAAATTTGACAGAACAAAACTGCATGGAAAACATTAATGAACATGAGGTTCTGGCCAGTTAGAGCTAAGATTGAAATAATTACAAACCTCATTCTCAAATAATGAAATTTCCAAACACTGATGCTCAGCACACAAGGATATAAATCTGTAAGGATGTGACTGAACTCTATTGTCCTCTAACAGAGCAAAATCAATCTGCTTTTAAAGTAATCCCTCTCCAAAGATAAGAAGTAAAAAACGTAAAATTGTTTCATATGTGGGTTATGAAAATGAGATGATCTCTATGAGTTCAAACGGCTAGTAAGCCAAAAAAAAGAAAACTAGCACCTCTAGTAGTACTGGGTTCTTTCTACACATTAGAATGTGCCAATCTAGCATTGGTAAATTCAATTTATATTCATCCAGCTCATGCCAGAAAGAGTATAAAAGTAGTTGTATTGAATAGCACAAATTAAAATACTCAGATTCTTCATTTTTAGAATTTTTTAATACCTTTAACTTTCAAAATGGTTTCCCATATTTATTTATGCTTCTAATATACAATCACTGAGAAACAAAGTGTTTTTAAAAATCACAGGATGTCAGTCAATTTTGTTCATGAAATAAAAATATGCAGTGGTAGGATAGGACCATGATTCATATGTTAAACCACTAAGTATGAGCAGCGCCTATCCATATTTCTTGTTGACATAGGAAAATTTGATATTATCTACACTTTACTAATATGCATTTAATAAATATCACATATATTACATATGTATATATGCTTTTATGTGACTGCATATAAAATAAACAGCAATGAAATAGGTATGAGCAACTTCCCAAAATCACTATGAAAAGAAGTGAAGCTTTTATTTATTTTAACTAACAAGTTTTACAAACTGCAAACATTTGTCTGTGTGTTTGATCACAATTCTTAGAGTTATGGAGTACAGTAATTGCCAACTGTAGGGCATTCGCAGTCAGATTATCCATATTGACATTAGCTGTGACAAATTGTGCTTTTCAAATTTTACTGACACTGTCAAACATTTGACCTTATTAAGTGCTCTGTTGACATTAACAAGGTCTTTCCTTTTCCTAGCCACAGCAGGAGTTAGGGAAAGAGATGGTTTAAGTCAAAATAAGTACTTATTAAGAGGTATACAAATATGCAGGGAAAGTTAATTAAGTCAAGAAATGGAGAAGGATTTCTAGACGAAAGAAGAGATTTATGTACAAAGGATTAGAAGTAGTGGGAGTAAATTGCACAAAATGTTCATAAAGCACATCATAGTATGAATACATCACAATGTGTATGCGCAGAAGAATAGTGAAATACACAAAGAGAAAGCAGTATGCAGAAAATGGTGTGCTTGTATTTATTCATCTGGGAAGGTGAGACAAAAAGACTAAATTTTACTCCTAGAGGTCATAAAAAGCCTTTGTAGAATTGTAAGTGATAACAAATACTGCTGCTATGAACATAGTTAAACAAATATCCTTGTTGCATGGATGTGAATCCTTTGGGTATGCCTAAGAGGGGGATTGCTGGGTCCTGTGGTAAACTAATTCCCATTTTCCTGAAACTGCCATACTCATCTCCAAAATGGCTATAGGAGTTTGCACTCCCACCAGCAGTGGAGGAATGTTACCCATTCTCCACATCCTCTCCAGCATGAGTCATCAATTGTGTTTCTAATTTTAGCCATTCTGGCAGGAGTAAGTTGTTTTGATTTGCATTTCCCTGATAGCTAAGGATGTGGAGCATTTTCTTAACTGTCTTGCAGCCTTTTTGATTCCCTCTATTGAGAATTCTTTCTTCAGGTCTGTACCCCATTTTTTAATAGGGTTATTTGGTGTTTTGTTGAATAGTTTCTTGAGTTCTTTGTATATTTTGGAGATCAGCCCTTTGTCGGATATGGGATTGGTGTAAACCTTTTCCCAGTCTGTGGGCTGCCTTTTGGTCTTTTCTAATGCATTCTTTGTCTTACAGAAGCTTCTAAGTTTGAAGAGGTCCCATTTAGGAACTTTTTCTCTCAGTGTGTGTGCCCCTGGATTTAGGTTCAGAAAGCGGTCTCCTATACCAATTTGTTCAAGGGTACCTCCTATTTCTCTTCTAAGAGGTTCAATGTGGCTGGATTGATGTTGAGGTTTTCGATCCATTTGGACTTGAGTTTTGTGCATGGCGACAGACATGGGTCTATCTGCAGTCTTCTACACACCCTCATCCAATTGTGCCAGCACCATTTGTTGAAGATGCTGTCCTCGATTGTATAATTTTAGCTGTTTTGTCGAAAATCAGGTGTTCATAGGTGCGTGGATTAATATCAGGATTTTCAATTCGATTCCATTGGTCTACCAGTCTATTTTTATGCCAATACCAGGCTGTTTTCAGAACTATAGCTCTGTAGTAGAGCTTAAAGTCAGGAATGGTGATGCCTCCTGAAGTTCTTTTATTGTATAGGGTTGTTTTGGCTATCCTGGGTCTTTTGTTTTTCCATATAAAGTTGATTATTATCCTTTCAAGGTTGGTGAAGAATTGTGGTGGGATTTTAATGGGGATTGCATTGAATCTGTAGATTGCTTTTGGCAAGATTGCCATTTTTACTATGTTATTCCTACCTATTCAAGAGCATGGGAGGTCTTTCCATTTTCTGGTATCTTCTTTAATTTCTTTCTTTAGAGTCACAAAGTTCTTATTATATAGGTCTTTTACTTGTTTGGTAAGCGTTACACCAAGATACTTTATGTTGCTTGTGGCTATTGTAAAGGGTGATGTTTCTCTGATTTCTTTCTCTGTCTCTTTGTCGCCTTAAAAAA